TGTGTCTCTCACTCTGGATTCTTGACATGCTTTCTTTTATCCCTTCACTGGATTTAAAAATAAAAAATATCTGTAAATCTATCACATATTGCAACCACTGTTTTTGCAGTTGCAAAATGCACTTGCTGCCTTCCCAACAGTGGTATTTATGATCTCTAAAATATATGCTCATGTTTAATCCTGCTACGAGTTGTTTTGTTTTTTTTCCTAAAATCAAATGCTAAGTGCTTATAAATGAATCTATTTTGCAGATGATGTGATTTATTCTTAAAAGCAAAAAGCTAGAAAGTGGTATGTTGTTTGTTTTTTGTTTTTTTTTGCAGAATGCTTTGGAAAAGAGCTCTATATAGAAAATCATTATTAGACAAAGCTTAAATAAGTGTTCTTGGGGATGAGGAGGATGAAAGGGGAGAGTACAGATGATGTTAAAACTATTGTTTTGAGAATTCACTGACTTGTAAGTCTGATTCTTGTAACAAGAAAATAATTCTAAATATTGTCCTTTGAAAGGACAGGAATGGAGCCTTAGTGAGCAGGTATCACACTCTCTTTGTAACAAACTTTTCAGAATAACCAGAATAAACCAGAAGGTGCACATTTAGGTTTCAAAGACACTTCATCAAAAATGTAAAAAAATCACAAACAGCTGTCTGCAGCAAAATGCAGCGCACACTGATTTCTGTGATTCGTATCTTCTATGCATTCTGTTTTTATGTAAGTCAAACCTGTGTTAGTAACTATACACAGATTTTCCGTGGCCATGAAAAGAACATATTTGGGGTGTTAAAAAACATAAGGAAATGAGAGTTAAAAAAAAATCGATTCTAAAGTTAATGTCCTGAATATTCCAAACCTGAATCTGACAAGTGAAGCCTCCTGTTTTAGCAGGAAATTAATTTTGCTGAAGATATTGTATGTTTGGATTCGCTATTTTTTGCATTATTTGAAAGCTGGAAAGTGACTTCAGTCTTGCTTCAATTCCACTGACTCTCAATGCAAACACAGTATTATTTGTTCCATAGACTTCCGTGAATGACAGTAAAGAACAATAAAGAAAAAAACAGGACTGCATGAAAGCATCCATCTCATTTTCTGAATACTGCAACACAGGTCGTAGTAGGACACAAAGTAATTGAAAGAGGTTGATTTCTGGTGCGCTTGATTACAGCTCTGCGTCTGCAGAACTACTGAACAGATTGTCATTTTAGATTATTCCATTTTCTTTCCATCAGAAAAACAAAATCCCTGAAGGATCGTGTAGTTGGCTAAGGAAGCAAATAACATTTTCCAAATGAATGATACATTTATTCTTGAGGAAGAAGCCGTAACTAATAAAGAGGCATTTTCCTAATCCTGCTTTTCAATTTCCATCCCATGAATTTGGTGGAAAGTGTGTGCAAATGGAAAATGACTTACAGTGGAAAGCAGTTTTCGGCTTTACGGAAATTATTCTTCTGTACCTTTTCTTCTAAGTTGAATTTTTCTTGCACAGGCATTTTTTGAATGCGCACAGCAGCACTCTAGAGAAAGAGCTTTTGCAGTAGCTATTCTGATTTTTCAACTCTTATGCTTCTTGGTGACTTGTAAATGTATAGGTACAAGACCGTTTGCATTTCTTTTTCACAGATCTCACACTTCAAATTATTGCATTCAGTAATGTTTTGGGTTATTTTAGAACTATTCCAATTCATAATTTTCTAACACCTGCTATTCTCTTATGCTGTATGAGCTAAATTTCTCCCCCCCCTCCCAGTCTTCTCTGTATTTGTTGAGTAATGAAGGACGCTTGCCTTTGTAGACTTTCTTACATAAATATTCCAAACTGTTTATTTTCTCTCTTATTCAGGATTATTGCAGTAGTTCAGAGGAACTCTACCAACCTGCCAGTTGCTCTGATGAGTCATAAGACTGTAATCCTGTTCCTCCACGTTCATTAAAGAAGCCTGGCATGCTTGGCTAGTCCATGGCAGCTATAAATCTTTGTTCTTGCTGCATTCTAGTTTCTATTGTTCTCTCTTTTAATTCTTAGCAGTTTATTTAAACCTACACAATGTGACAAAGCTTTTCACCCCCTGAAGCGGCTGCACTGAAATTACAAGTTAATTGATTCATCTTTACCTGACTGAGGTTTGTGCAAGGCTCTGAGCCTTTCGGGCTTTCTGTCTTATCCTGGAGCTTATGGCTCACTGCCACCTCTGCAAACAACTGGGAAAGAATCGCATTTTTTGACTTGTCTAGATTTTGCTGCCTCAGTTTTCATAAGCTCTTCTTGAGAAACATTTAAAGAAAATCCAAACTCAGAGTGTCAGGAAGTCTACCTTCTCATGATGGAAGAGGCCATTTGCCCTTACTTTGAGGGTTTCATTTGTGGCTTACTCCTTGCCCACACTCCAGGGGCACATCGTATTCTGAAGCTGTGCTTTGCAAGGAAAAGTGCTTCTGTAATCAGCACATGCTGAAGAGATAATTAAGCCTTGAGAGGTTATAAGATTTATGGTGGAAATCTGGAAAATATATTCTGAATATGAGCTTGTATTTGTAGAAAGCAAGACTTTTTCAGGGCGATCAATTTTTTGATTTACAGCTCAGGCATTGGGCAGCAATGCAGAAGCCTTCAGCCCTCAGCCTCTGTCAGAAAAGTACCTCATGTTTTTAAATCTGTTTACATAATGGTATTTTTTGTGACCTTCTAGACATAGCAGAGAGAAAGTTCCCCAAGGTAAAGCTGTCTGTGCATTCAAAGCCTCCCTCCTTCCTCACTGTGCACCCACTGCAACTGATGCCATGCTGCATGGGGAAGCTGGGAGGGGTCTGTGCCGGCACCTCCTCCCCACTTCAGCCAGCCCACTTCTGTTGCCCTGGCACTAGGCTGCTGTGTCTCATTTATAGGCTGAGATTGTGACACAAGATCTTCCAGATGCTTAAGAATTGTTCTCTCCATATTGTTACCCATTTTAAAGAAGGAGCAATCAGATTTTTAACATTAATGGGCTTGTGCTGAGTATTAAGTCTACTCAGTTTTAGAGAAGAATGGAAAAACAAAGGAAATGATGGCCCAGCTATTTCTTCTAGTGGCATGAGCCACCTGTTGTTTCTCCAAATTAACTACCTCACTAAATTTGATTTGATGACTTGGATGGTGACCGTGAGTGGATATCCTCGCAGGGGAGAAATAAAGTGCAAAAAGAAGTGAGAGAAACTTTGCTCTTCACTTTTTCATCGCTCCCAGAAACCTCATTCTTCTCTGATATAACAGGAGACAGATATGTTTGTTTCTCCAGTGTCAAAGTACTGCTATTTGATCTGTAAAAGTTAGGCTACTGCATCGCTCTGTTGATTAAATATTTAAGAACAAACATTGAATTATGTGGTGTATAGAAGTGTTTCTTCTCTGTCAGTAGCCAAAGTCTGATATGCCTCCATCTTGCTCTAATCTGGGAATATAAATGAAAAGCTTTATCAATGAAAAACAGCCGAAGGTAAGCGACAAGTGTGACTTCAAAACCTGAACAGCCGCAGAATTCACAACTGGTACAGACTGCGTATAGATATAACATAACTGCAGTTGATACCTTTGTATGTGTTTGTGCCACAGTGAATTTATTTTTACAATTCTCTTTCTGTGAAGACAGGTCCCAACTGTTTATAAACAGCATTCTGCCAGCCTCTGTCATTTGCATCCCTTCAGAACATTTCAGCAGTGCACCATAGCAATGTATTGCAGCTCTTTGGAGGCAGAGGACAGTGGGCAGTACCTGGAGCTGCAATGCCAGGAGGGCAGATGTGTGGTGAGCCTTCCTCCCACAGCTGTGCAGCCAGCTGTGTGCGGTGTCCTCCCCACTCCCCTGACTCTTAAGGGATGTTTAAAAGAAGTAATAATTTATTTAGTGCAAAATTTAGGTGGGTTTTGAGCAAATACGCTGTTTGTTTTTCTTGTTGCCTCTGTATTCTGCTAGATTTTTTTGTGTTACACATCTTAAATATTTTGGTTATGGATCTAGGGTAGTAATACAAAACATACTTATGTTTCTTCTTTTTTTCTGTTAAATATTGCTTATGACTTTCTGTAGGCCTTTGATTGAGTTTTCTGCTGGCAAGTGACTGCCTTTCAAAATGGCTTCCTCTGCATATATGCACGCTTTTATTGGCTTCATCTGTGAAACAGCCATGCCCAGTTTTACCTAAGTCTTGCTTGGTAGTGCTTCTTAAAAATGATCCCTGAAAGATACCTTTCTTTTCCTTTCCTTATCGATTTTCTGTTTCCCTCTGTTTTGCTATGTTAGCTGTATATCTTAAAGAATCAGATCGTTCCATTCTTACACTGTAGGTAGATAAGATGAAAGACCTGAATTTTTCCACACGTTCCTTTATTCCTGCTGTGTTTCAGGTACACAAATAGTATATTTGGAACTTCAAATGATAAATAAATATTTCTGATAATTTTAAAGTAAATTTAGTAGCTCTGTCAGATGTGCTTCAGTACCTTCCTCTGTTTTAGCAAGGACTTCATTTCCACCTCACCATTTATTTTTGGAAAGAAAAATAAAGAGTGTGTAGGGAAAACTGGTTAAGCCACAATTTCAGTCAATTCATTAAATAAAAAAAAAAAAAAATAGTTCTTGTAAGTTTCATTCTAAATTCTCTGTCATCATTTCTGTTGTATTTGGATATCATTTTGCATTTCAGTATCTTTATTATCCATGTTGGGATGCAAAGATACAAAGATAACAGGGCAAGACATTTTGCAGCTTGTTTTCTCCTGATCTCAGTATTTTTTAACCGCATCCCTTAAAATAGAAATGCAAAACTATGTGTCCTACTTTCCCCTTACTGAAATAGATGCCTTTTGTTAATTTTAGATACAGAAGGGCAGGATATGTAATTAATGATATCAAAGAACCCATACGATATTCAACAGGGTCCTAACATCAAGGACAAAAGAAGTCTGACAACAGCTGTCCCTAATGATTTGGTTTGTAAAATGTTTTCTTTTATTTCAGGAAGTTGGATGCTTTCATCTATGATGCAGCAGTGCTGAATTACAAGGCTGGAAGAGATGAAGGCTGCAAACTTGTCACAATAGGCAGTGGATACATCTTTGCCACTACAGGCTATGGAATAGCACTTCAGAAAGGGTCACCGTGGAAGAGACAAATTGATCTCGCCCTTCTTCAATTTGTTGGAGATGGTAGGGACCAATCTTTATTCTTTCCTTTCCTTTTTCTGCATATGCGATGTTAATTCAGTTTTAATAGCTCTGAGGATTTTACTGATCTTCTCTTACAGTCTTTATGGAAAAAAACACAGTGTAAACAAATGAGTAAAATATTTCTCCGTGTTCTTAGACAGGAATTCTCTTCTACTCTGTTTTTTAATTCACCTCGCTGCCTAGGACACTTGCATCTATTTTCAGAAAGAGTTTCCATATGCATCACAAAATAATGTTGGCCTCAATGTTAAAAAGCATTTCTAAATTTACTTATTTTCTTTTCTTTTTTGCCTGTGAGAAATTCCTGAGGATTTTTTACCTTGTAGACAAGTTGTCTTTCAGCATGGCCAAGTTAGCTCTTCTATACCTGTCTTGTAGGTAGAGGAATTAATATGATTATTCTCATTGGCGAGTTCTTTGAGCTCTTCCTTATGGCAAGAAGAGAGAAACATTGACTGAAACTGCGACTGACTTTAACTTGTCTTAAAATCCTTAGACTATAACTGTCTAAAAGCCTCGCTCAGATCAGTGTGGTACGTGTTACGTTATGACTCTGAGTCTTTTACATAGATACATATGTTCACTTTACATTTCTTTGACAGTGAAATAGAGGGTTTCATAGGAAAAGAACTCTTAAAACGTGTCATAGCAGTTTGAATTGTCAAGTGCAGGACCTTAGCTTTGTGGCCTCCTGTTCAATTAAAAACAACAAAAATCCTTTAGACAGTAATTTTCAAACTGGAGACAGTGAGTGTGTTAGTCTTCAAGCACATGGATTTTATTTCTATTGTAATAATAAATCTCTGAAAGAGGCGTAGTCATCATTACTGATGGATTTGGTCTGGTTTGTAAGGAGAAATACTAGTGTCACCATTATTGATCTGCTGAATTTAGAGAGGCTTAGGGAATAAACATTGCTTGCTTCTGCTAAGAAATGAATATATCACCCACACTGACTAGGTTTCAAGCAATTAAGTATTCTTTTATGCAGTAGGAATTAACTGGCTAAAGTTTTTGCTTTCTTATTTCTGAGTATTTTGTGAATATAATATTTTTTCTACTTATGTAATAGTATTAAGAAGTGTTAGGTGCTGTAATTCTGATCCTTTGTAATAGGAAGACAGAATCAGAGAATTGAAAATATTTGTCCCAAACTAAAAGGGAAAAAGCTGTCACAGCCTGAAAGAGGATCTGAGGTCTTTCTCAGTTATGGGCAAACCCCTCTAGATGTGCCAGAGCATCACTGTGACTATCATTCTTTCCACCTTGCATTTTCTTCCTGCTTACTCTCATTATTTTTGATAACTTCCTCATCCAGCAAAAAGAAATGAAATGCCAGGGAAAGAAAATAAACAAAATAGAAATTATTTGAAGCTGTTCCATTGTTACAAAAAAAAGAAGAAAAAAAAATCCTAAAAATACCACAGGTAATGCATTTATACATGTCACTTTCTCTCCTGGTATCAGGGAGAAAACAAAATGGGTGGAAAAGAAGAGGGAAAAAACCTTATAATTGTACTTATGCTTTGCCTTTGAACTTACATAGCATATGAATGTTTATCTCCCTAAATCATTTTTAGTAGCTTAAAATAAAACAATTGGGTTGTCTACAAAACTTGATATTAGAGCTTCCACAGAAATAATGTACAGAATAGCATTTGATACATATAGCCTGTCATGAATGAAAGCTTGTCATGAAAGTACTGCTCCCACGTTCATCAATGTTTAGATTACTTCAGAAGATAAGCAAAAGTGGTACTTTTCAGTACGTTTAGACAGAATTCTGAACAACCCATGAATGCTAACGTGATCACTTTCTCTTTTAACAAATGTCTAATCTCGTTTGGAAAATTGTTTGGGCAGTATATAAGAGGACAGCAGTTGGTCGTATATGATGGGAAGGAATAGGTGTGTTTCTTTTAGTCCTGTAATTGTTTGCTGCCTCATCTCACTTTATTGCATCATAGATCTGGATGATAATTTTCAGGATTTTATATATATATGTGAAAACAAAGAATAATGTTGAGATTGAAATTTCTTCTACTGCTTTGTAAAGTATGTTGTGAGCTGAAACAAAACACCAGGAAATTAAATGTAAAGAATTATTGCCTAGAACTCTCATGACCTGATATTTGTAAGCAAGGTCTAATTTCTGTAGTTTGATGAATAATCTTTTTTTGCCATGAACTTATGTAAGTCTCTTTTGATGAATTAGAAGGGATGAATCCAGAGTTCAGGCCAACGTCATTTTGCTGTATCACTAAAAATCTCTTTGAAGTTTTCCAGACTAAAAGCAAACATGTCTGAGTGGAAAGTTTCATCTTAGGATGAAACTCCTGGGAAATCCACACTGAAGTCTGAATGAGGTCGGTTAAGTAAATAAGCATACAAAATGAAAATAGAAAGACTTCTTTCGCATGTGTTGTCTCTGCTGATTTTATTATGCCTATAAAACAACAAAGTGACTGGCAGTATTGAATCATTATTTGGTATATGTAACAGAATATTCATCTCTACAGAATAGTTTCAGTGAATGACTGTAAATCTAATGAGTTTCCTAAATGTACGAAAAATCCTAACTAATAGAAAAGATGCCATTTATTGATATGATTGCTACGTTAAGGAGTGAAAGAGAACCTTTTGGATGATACTTGCTAGATATTTGGATAAGACCATGTAATTTCTTTAAAAGATTTCTTTAAAAGTTTACTGTGATTTAAAAAATGATTTCATTCCTTTTTTATATTTACCTCATTCTGAGATCTTGAAATGTATTTTTTAGAATCTTCTGTGTCCTACGTAGGTCTTTCCACTGTGATTTTTTTTCTGATTTTTTTTTTTTGCCTCTTCCATAATGGATATTATCGTATCCAATTCATATACGCATTCAGGTGAAATTTTTTTGCATGGTTGATAGGAACCTTTTTGCTCTCCCTCACTGATGTAAAACATCAAACTCAAGTCTTACTGACCTTTAGTAAACTTTTCATCCCACATGACAGTGTTTTTTCTGCACTGAAGTTAATAGCTTTGAACTGTCATTTGTATTTTGTTGCCACTGGTGAAAATTAAGGTAAATACAAAGAAACATAGATTTGTGTTAGAAATAGCTTTAACCTTAGACTGAGTGACTTATTTGTATCTACGTGAGTTGAGTTCTGATCCTAAAGACAGTTTTGCTGGGTGGGCAGATTAATACTGCCAAATGACAATTGCAGTGGTAAAGTGGGAAGGAATCAGGCTACAGGATGCCACATTTATTATTCTAATCAAGAGAAAAAGAGAGATGGGGAAGGAACATGGGAAGGAGTTGCTCACAAACTTGAAGAACAGAGAATACCTGCAAACACAGCTATCCCCAGAATTGTTTGCTCACTTGGTCTGTGCAAGTTCATATACATTGCCCACTTCGTTGGAAGTTGAGATAAGTATGCATTTGTTATTAATAATGTTAATTACTTGGGATCACTGAGCCCTTTTAATATACTGAGTTAGGATTTTCTTGTACAGTGGATACAGGTGAAGCAAACTACTCAGTGAATTTCCAGTTTTGTAGTTCTGACTACCTGTAAATCACATCTCATTATCTGAGCAGAATTGCAGTTGGCAATTAGAATCTGTGATTTCATTTGAAATAGTGGATCATCAAGGTAATTTTCTAAAGTACTGGTTGTGCTTTTTTATTTACTGAAGTTTTGCTTGCTATAGCCATAAGAGGAAACTTTCATTTTTTTAACTGAGAAATAAAAATGTTTGTACTGACACACAGAGGACTATTTCTCAGTCTTCTGCTGAGAAATAGAAGCACCTAAAAATTCCAAAACAACAAAATGATACAGCTGCTGAGAAACAGCACCATCATTTTGTTTGGATCTTTCGCCCACAACGACAGCGATGTGTCAGAACAGAGATGTTGAATACTGAAGAGTTGCATGATACGTGCTTTGATTTCTCTTATAAACCTCTGTAAGGAACAGCTGGGAAGTCTGACATGCCCAATATCTCGCACATTACCCCCAGAAGCTGTCAACTGCTTTTTTAGTGTGTTAGCTTGCAGTTTGATAAGTTCCATATATGCTCAAACACACAGGCTGAGTAATTCAACAAGTCTATAGCTGCTGAACTGCTGCATGGCACACACGTTCCTCCAGCCTTCAACATTACAAACTTTCAGCCAGCTGCTCTAGCTTGGGCTGCACGGTGTGATGTAAAGCAGAGCTATACTTCGAAATGTATATTGCAGAGTGCCTTGCAAGGTGTTGCTTCTGAAATATTCTGTAGTGTCATGAATTTGTGGTTTGAAGGAGAATCACTTTTATTTCTCTCTTTGGTGTTTTTGAGTAAATGAGACTATTGCACTGCAAAAGACAAAGTTGCTTTGGGATTAAGAGAGTAAAAGGGCTTCAGAGGGCAGATAGGATTGAGTGAAAGATAGCAGGGAACCTTTAGCTGTTTGGATAAAAGACACGTACATGCAGAAATAGCTGGAAATGGGAGACAGAAAAATGCTGCGTAAAGAGGGCAAGTATGGAGAGGAGTGGGAGAATATCAGCCAGCTGGCAAGATGGAGCTCCGAGTGCATGTGAGGGATTTGTAACCTGTTTGCTACCTGCAGGCCATGAGCTCAGTTCAACCAGAGATCTGGGAAGAGATCCCCAGGAAAAGAGGGACAGATTGTATAGCTGTATTAAGCCCGACCCACAAAGCAGTGGCCTTTAGAGCAATTAGAGATACAAAGATGTAAAGAAGAAAACTGGTTTTGGTTTGAATTTCTTCAGAGAGTCTGTTATCCCCTTCCTAATACCTTTAAATTCTGGTTAATCTTTATGTGCTTTTTTCAATAGCTTAATGTGCTAAGAATCATTTTCCTGGGTGGACAATTGCTTCCCACACCTTAGTGGCAATAGGCAACTGTGAAAATAAGATTTGCCCCCTTACATCTGGAAGAGGAAAATGCCTTGCTACTTTTCTTCACGTTT